CCAGTTTTATTTACCTGCTGACGTGGCAGGTTCGGCCGATCGTGGCCCCCACTGGCCGTGGTTCGCCGTCCCGGGCCAATGAGGGCGTCGAGAAGCGGCGCAGGCGAGCGATGTGCTGGCCGCAGCTTCTCGCCGCCCCCATTGGCCCGGGACGGTGAACCGCGGCCAGTGGGGGCTGCGATCAGCCGAACCTGCCGCGTCAGCAGGTAAATAAAATTGGCCCGACCCACCAGGGTGCTTACCCTGGCGAGCCGCGTGCCGAACATTGCCGACCCCTGGGTTAGATACTAGGGAAAAGTTCTTAACAGAGAAGTTGGGCAGTTGAATGGATTAGCAACACAGGCAACTGAAATACCATCTCTGCAGATAGTCAAGATCAAATAAAATAAAATATATTAGTGAGAATTATTTAGTGAGCATCCCTACAAAATATTGGAGGGAGGAGGGTCAGATTAAATGACCTAAGTGATCTTTTTCTGGTCCAACTGTCTACTTCTGCATATACAGGCACCTCCATCCCTACTCAAGTAATCTGACCTAGCCAGATTAGCCATGTAGAGATGAAAGCTCTGTAGCCTAACAAACCTTTGAGGAATCAGTCCTGTAACCATTTCAATTTTTGTGTGAATTCTTTTGCTGCTATATTTTTTCTCTCTGCATTTTAATGCAGTGGTGTTCCTTGAAGTGCTGATCTTCCATTTGAATGTTAGTGCTTCACAAAGATGTCCATAGTACATGCATTTTTTTGCCACATATCTGGCACGTTATTAAAATGGTTGACTGGGTAAAAAGAAGTAATAACATTCACTTTTTAAAATGTGGTTTTAAAAGTTAAATATAAATTAAATTTTTTCAGAGATAAAGAAGTGCTTCGGGAATGGAGACAGCGTTCCAAGATGATGAAGGAGAAGAAAGAAGTATTGTTCAGGTATTCACCTACAAGAGCAGACATGGTATGTAATAGAGAATAGCAAGGCAGTATTGGATCAGGTAAATAATCCATTAACAAGACGCTTTGACCCTTTTTCTCTGTGAACTGTATATTTAGGTTAGACTTCTAATGATGATAATACAGTTAAATAGAAAAATGAATACTTAAAATACTATCACTTTGAGAAGCTATGTGGACCTACAGCCCCCACATGAAATATCTATATTGAACATGGATCCCGTGTGAATTGATGTGGATCAATGTGCAATGTAGGAGTTGCGAGACCCTGCAAACAGTTATTCACTATCTGTAGTAGTTCCAATATCAGGCTATTGGAGACGTTAAAACAGAAGTACTTATATTTAAATATTTTTTTTAATTATTGAACGCCTCCAATTTGTGATATTGCCTCTGCCAAACTGAAATTGATGTGGGCTGGATCTTATGGTTGCTACAGGAGTCTGTAAACTCTGGCACTCTAAAAGGTGGCACCTTTTTAAAAAAGACTCAGATGTGTAAGAAAAATTGGGTTTTTGCCCATATTTGCTTTTTCTGAAGTAGAAAGAAGGCCTGAAAAGTGTTTCCCAATGACACAAATAAAAAAACCAAAATTCTTGTTGTTTCTTTATAATAGAAATTCTGGCCTCGTTTAAGTATGACATTGCAAGGAAGTGGATATTGAAAGCTGAACAATCAGACCTCTCAAATGCTCCCTTGTGGAACTCATTGTGACCATGACACAAAATAAGGAACATAAAAAAAGTATCCATTCAGAAAACTTCAAATGCTGAGGGATTCATTCTGTTAGTGTCCATAACTCTTTCTTTAATCTCCGTTTCATGATTCTTTATTTTTGATGTAAAAAAATGGTTAACATCAAAAATCAGGGGACAACAAACGTGTATGGAACATAGATAAGCTTTGAATTAAAACAAATGACAACTCTCAAAATGAGGTACAATTAAAAGGGAAGGAATTTAATCTGGTTGTTTAATATGTTTTTGTTTTATTGACAACTGTCTAGCAATGTCTAATAAACATCTGGTAAAAAGGATATCTTCATTAAAGAATAAAAACTCTCACTCCTTCCGATAACACATGAGGGCTCACAATACACATCTCTGACGTCCCCTGAAAGAGCAGGCTTTGCTTTGCTGATATTTCTAAAATAATGTGAAGGTTTAAAAAAACCCAAACAATGTCTATTTAGGCCTTCATTGTAAGTCGTACAGAAGCAAATGAGGGCACAACCTACTTTAAAAAACAGTACTTTGTAAGTCAGTTAGTTACTAAAATGATGGTACCATAGGATGGGAGTCAGGACCCCTGGAGCAAAATCCACTATTTTTCAGTGGTGCTAAGATTTCACGCAAGGGTTCAATTCTTAGTTCTGCCAATAACCTGCTTTGTAATCATGAGCAAGTCACTTCATTTCTCTGTGCCTCTGTTTCACCTTACATCCTTGGTCATGTCTATTTAGATTATAAGTTCTTGGGGGCAAAGACTGTCCTTTATTATGTGTTTGTACAGTGCTTAACACAATAAGGCCCCAACCTCAAGGCACTAAAATAATAAATAAATAATAAAATAATAACAATTAATAATTGTTAAATGTATAGTATATATGTTGGGGGGGTGGTTATTTGAAACATTATCCCCTATTCTGTATGTCTTTAAATTATTCACTTGTGCAAACTGATACTTCTGAAAATAAGCCAAGTTATGATGCCAAATGTGTCAGTGATACCAGGAAAGTCTGCTATCATTAAACTGATAACATAGCATGATGTTCTTCATCAAATAAAATAATACAAGGACAACATTGGAATTGGGCAGTATTCCCTGCCTCTACTCTCTGCTGATTGCAGTTTAACTTGTAAGGAAAAGTATTACCATCTCAGAGAGGCTGAACAGATCTCAGACCCTTATTAATAGCTTTTGGTTTCGGAAATGGAAAGTAAAAGTAACACTTGAAATGTATAAAGGAACTTGAAGCAATTTTACAAATAAGTGAAAATTCCTGGCTCTGTGACTGGTTGAAAACAATTATGTGACAAATCTGATACTTGTGGAAGTAGGTACGGCCAAATTATTTTGCCAATTTAAAAAAACAACAACTCCAGCACCAAAACTGCTCACATTGCAGCAGTAGATTTACAGTATGACTCCCATTCCATAGGGGAGGTTGGGAAGCACAGCAAACACAACTGCTTGCCACAGGAGACTTATTTACAGGCGGGATAATCAATACCAAGGATCAAATCCTGGCTCCATTGAAGTCTATGGATAAACTCCCCCTGACTTCAGCAGGGCCAGGATTTCACGCCAAGGCTCTAGGGTTTTCAGCAGCAAGAGTAATTCCAAAGTGGCAGCATCAGCATGAGCAGAATGCGTCAGAAGTAATTTTTCTTGCTGCTGTGAGTAATAGGGACTCAAATTGTAAAGTGCATACACACCTGTTATTTAGCAATATGTATTTTCCTATTTAAAAAATGATAAGGAATATCTGGATTTCACCCATGTTGTTTATATTATCCCTCTGAGAGTAGTTGCAGCATGCTTTCTCTGTGTAGGAATGTCTCTGTTTTAGTTAACCTGACTAAGGTATTTTTTAGAATGTGTAGCTTTCGTTAAAATAGTTGAGAATTAGGCGGATCATGTGTGATAGTAATAAATCTGACGATGTGATAATAGGACAGTATCTTTACTTGCCAAGGAGGGCCCCTGTTTTGCTTGCCCATGTTTCCAAGTTTTATGAATACAAAAAAGAGAATGTGTTCAGTCTGAGAGCACAGTTCTTGAATTCCACATTTTTCTATGTCATTTGTAAGTAAATACTGTATTTAATACTGTATATTTTAAAGCCTCTGTTTAGGCATTGTTGAATGTATATATGAAGCACAAGAGGGCACTGTAGTATCATATATGTATTCCATAGTGATGAGGTTGCTAAACTCCCTTGTTACTGAGTGACAGAGTAAATAGATTATATTAGCAATATCTAGCAAAATTCAAAGCATATAAAAGGTTGGGTGGAGAACCCTTTCATACTCATTTTTAAACTGTTTGTCTTTTACTTTGTCACATATGAACTGTATGTCCTTATTCTATCCTATCCTGGTTTTGCAGGTAGGGTGGAAAGAGGTTTCACATTTCTTGCATATTGCAGAGATTATTGCTTGCTAAGTAATGAACAAATAAAGGTTTAATAATTGCAGTCTGCCCAAATTCAAGTGAAGTCCTCAAATAACCACATAGTCATTTCTTGCTATGTTGATCAGTTTTTAAGATTGTTTCATGTGTTTATTTATCAGCCTGTGCATGTACATATTTGTTTGTGGAAGTCTGTGAAATATGTTTCCATTATACCTTACGGATCTGTTCAACAGAAAGCTGGCCATTGTGTAGAAACTGATTTTTACCAAACATACTAAAGCCTTTTGGGGAGAACCACAAGAGAGTGCAGACTCTCTAATGAAACTTTTTCTCTCCCCTAATGAACCAGTGAATGCTGTTATACATGGCATGAGGACCAATTTAAGTGACCATGGGAATTTATTTACTTTCAAATTATTCTAGCTAAAGACTGATTTAGTTGATGGTTCATCCCTTTTCCCATAAGAAAACACTTGGATTAACCAAAAAATGAAAACTTTGTAAAATTTAACAATAAGAAAAAGCATACAATGTTGTTAATGTAAAGTATTTGCCCTACATCCTAAATATATAACTTAAGTGATGTTTGCTTGCTAAGGAAGTTTACAGGATCCGTAAGTATGAGCTTTTGCAAGGACCACAGGCCAAGTCTTGTAAGAATCATAAGGGGGTCAGTCACGAATAGCAAAAAACTGACAAATTGTCAGATGATTAGTAAATGCATAATAATCTGTTAACAGACAATTGATGAACAGAAAGTAAGCCAAAATCACCAAATAAACTGATCAGAACAAATAACTTGACCATCTCTAGTTCTCAACATGTGAAATATGTTTATGGTTTTTTTTTAAACTCTGAGCTTTGCTGGAAAGTCATAAGCTTCATGAGCATAATGCCAGCAAAGCATGGAAGTATGGGTGGCTGGAAAACAAATTTCATTTAACAAAAGATTTAAGATTTCAAAATTTGTTATAATTGTGTTGTGGAATGAAAACGAGATTTTAAATTTTTTTCCAGAGAGAGAGAGAGACAGATACCAATCCCTACTCTTTATGATTTGGAGCAGGGATTTGAACCTGGGCCTTTCACATCCCAATTGAGTGCCATGACTGCCATGCTATTAGCTATCCTGGGGTGGGGCAGGGCTCTGTGTACATGTGTGTGTCTCACCCTTATCAGACATTCCATCCTGGAACTGAGAAATCTTCATAAAAACTGAACATTTCCACAAATCATTTTCATTTTGATGAAATGTCATTTGTCAATTCAACTTTTTTCAATGAAAAATGACAACTTTTTGACCAGCTCTACTTGTAATTTCCACGAGTCCCCTGGATTGGGTTTATGCAGCTTTTAACTTTTAGTGAATCTGAAAATGGGACCATGGCAGTAACAAGCTCTACTGGTTATGCTGGTGAAATTTATAACTTCTTTGAGGTCTCAGGTACAATTCTGCTGCCGAGAACTAAGGGCATGGCTATGCTAAAGAGTTTGCAGCAGTGCAACTGCATCAGTGCAGCTGTAAACTCTTTAATGTAGCTGCTCTAAACTGGTGGGAGAAAGCTTATGTCCGTGGGCGAGTGACATAAATTATGCCAACATAAGCTGTAGTGTAGACATAGCCTACATTTTTGCAGCTTTCTGATAGTTGTAAATTCTACTAGTACAGTCAGAGGTGCTTGTAACTCTTATGATCTCTCTCTCTCTCGAATGCACGTATGGCATTCTTATGAGCACCACTAACTAAATACAAGTTGTACTGAAGTTACAAGCAAAAATTTATTTCACTCTTCTTGACTAATATGAGTATAAGCAAATACTTTTTCAACTTTAGTAAAAATTAAAAGAATACTCAAATAGAAAACT